GAGTTGAACCTGTGTCCCCTGCCTGGGAGGCGAGAATTCTGCCACTGGACCACCAATATCCCCTTCACACTGATGTAGAGAATGACAAAGCCAGGCTGATACACAGGTGGTGGGTAGTCACAAAGTTCATTCACCAATCCAGGGATTTATTTCTGCAAACCAACCTCATAGCCCAAGAGAGTCCACCTCAGCAAAATTACAGATGACTAGATATCACTTAAGGACCCATGGTGGCACAGTGGTTAAGCACTCAGCTGCTAACTGAAAAGTCAGCCATTTGAATCCACCAGGCTCTTTGTGGAAGAAAGACCTGGTGATCTCCTGTAAAGATTACAGTCTAGGAGACCCTGTATGGGGCATTTCTACTCTGTCACATGGAGTCACTGTGAATCAAAATCAACTCAACAGCACCCAATACCAGCAGCCATATATCCTACTGATAGGACAGCCAGTCACAGTGTCAGAATAGCAGGTGCTAAAGTGGAGATTATTTGCAGCACTAAACGAGATCATCTGTGTGGCGGCATCTTGCATATACTAGGTGTTCAAACTGAGTGAAATGACAGAAATGTAACAAGTGGTGAAATAGTGTCAATTATGTATTCCTTGAACTCACAGAACCCAGACACTAAATACCAGAAAGGACAGGTAAGCAATCAGATAGTAAAAAAAAAAAAAAAAAAATGAAAACAGAAAGGTCACTGCCTGCTGTGTATTAATGCTGGCTGAGCTGGTGTCTTAATGATTTAACCGTCTGACACCATGAGCTGGCTCTGTTTAATGTCAGACGGGACTTAAGAAAATAATTTCTAAGTAAAAAAAGAAAATCATTTCTAACCGAGAATCTTGTGTCAGGTTACGTACGTATGAATACATCTCTGACTGAGGCCTCAGCCTTCGATTCTGTCCTTACTTGGCCACAGGGGTTTCTGCATTCCGGGCTGTTGCCAGGGAGTGTAAGTTTGTGAGCTCCAATGTCCTCTTATCAAAAGCTTGGGGGTGAGAAATAGTATCTGTGGAGGGTTGCCTGCAGGATACGCCACCCGTCTCCTCATTCCTCTCTACATAGCCAAGATTTTATTCATGCTTTCAGTCGGGGCATCAGATAGCTGCCTATTTGAATGTCCCTGTTTGAGCATTTTAGTTTCCCTTTACTGGGCAGGATTAGTGAAAAAAGACACGTGTCCTTATGGAAGGAGCTCTGGTGGCACTGTGGTTAAGGCATCAGGCTGCTAACCAAAAGGTCAGTGGTTCAAACCCAGTTGCTCTGTGGGAGAAAGATGAGGCAGTCTGCTTCTGTAAAGTAATGTACAGCCTTGGAAATCCTATGGGGTTGCTGTGAGTTGGAATCCTTACGGAGGAGTCCCCGGGTAACACAAGGGGTTAATGGTCTTGGCTACTAACCAAAACATTGGAGGTTTGAGTCCACCCAGAGGCTCCTTGGGAGAAAGGCTTGGTGGTCGACTTTTAAAACCTCAGCCATATGGGTCACAATGAGGTGGAATCAACTTGTTAGCACTTGGTTTGGTTTGTATCTTTATGGAGTTTTTGAACTGTGTGTTCAGAAAAATACATAGATTTCTAGGCAGAGAAGACAATAGCTTACTGAGAAAGGATCAGACTAGCATCAGTCTACTCATCCATGAGTCGAGAAGCAAGTGAGAAGACAGCAGTGTGATCATTGTAGGGAGATGAGAGAACGGCACTGGGAGCCAAGAATCCTACACCACCCAAGACATCTTATTCATATATGAGGACAAAAGAAAGGCATTGCTGGACATGGAGTGACTCAGAATGGACCTTCCATATGCCATTTCTGAGAGGGCTATTTGGGAAGTGGTCCCACTAAATAATGACCGGATCAGAATGAAGATGTCTGGACAGGGGAAGATGAAGAGCCAAAAACAATGGCCAAATCCACACAGGTGATAAGAATAGAACTAAGATCCAAATTACTAAATAACAAGAGAAAGGAGCTTTAAAAGTGAAAGAGTGCAGTTCACAAGGACATTGTCGTTCACAGATCTGTTACACATAATCAACATAATTATCGAATACAGATGGCAGAAAAAGTAGAGATGCAGAAGAGCATATACAGCTATGGTCATATCAGGGAATTTGGAATATTTCTTTCATAATTTGACTAATAATGAGATGGGGTAATAAAGAGAGAGAGTGTTCACACCCTATAAATAGAGAATGTATGTTTTTCTCTTGTGTCCATAGAACGTTTATAAAAAGCCATGTAGTTGGCCACAGAAAATAACTTAATGATTTTTTTTGGGAAAAAAGATACTCTGTTCATCCTGTTTCTTGATCCTGAGGCAATAAAACAAATTTGGGAATGAAAATATAATAAGTAAAAATAAAAATTCTTGAAATTAAGAAACACTTTTATAGATGATTCCTAGATCAAATAAAGATTCATAGCAGAAACTTATCTGGAAATTAACTAAACAGAACACTTCACATCAAAACTTTTGGGGAAGTGGTTTATGTATTCAGGACTACTTTAGAGTCTAAATATTTTTAATATTATCTTTAAAACTAATGAAAAAATATTATGTCTAAGAAATGAAAAAAAAAAAGAAAAATAGCTAAAAGAAAGAAGCTATTACTAACAGTAAAAGCTAAAATTAATGGAAATGACCCAAAAATAAATGGTAGAAAGAATAAAAACAAAGAGAAGTTTCCTTGAAATATCCAGCAAAATCTACACACTCCACTGGGAAAAACTGACTCATGAAAACATGCACACATCTACCATATTAGGGGTAATGCAAGAGACATTACCCAGATCACAAAAGGATGAAAAGTATTCAGTTAAAGAATATTATGTACAACTTTATGGCAATAAATTTAAAAATCTAAAGGAAATGGATGGTTTTCTAACAAAATATTGTTGTTTTGTTAGGTGATGCCTACTGGGTTCCAACTCAGAGTGACCCTGAACACAACAGAATGAAACACTGTCCTGTCCTGCAACATCCTCATGATCTTTGCTCTGCTTGAGCCCATCATTGCAGCCACTGTATCAGTCCATCTTGTTAGGTCTTCCCCTATTTCACCGAATCCTCTACTTTAAAAAGCATGATATCCTTCTCCAGGGACTATTCCCTTCTGACAACATGATCAAAGTACGTGAGATGAAGTCTCGTCATTCTTGCTTTTAAGGTGGTGTGTTCTGGTGTAATTCTTCCAAGACAGATTTGTTCGCTTTCACCAAGTTTTGATCCAAAGAAAACCAAAAACCCACTGCCATCACGTCAATTCCAACTCATGATGACCCTTTAGGACAGAGTAGAGCTGCCCCATAGGGTTTCCAAGGCTATGAATCTTCACAGAAGCAGACCGCCTCATCTCCCGGAGAGCGACTGGTGGGCTTGAACCACTGACCTTTTAGGTAGCAGCTGAGGGCTTTAACCACAATGCCGCTAGAGAGGTTATAAATCCCAAGAGATGAATAATCATAGAAAAAAATCTGAGTGCATATAAAGAACAAAAGCTTTCCAGTTTTATGAAAAGCAGTCTTAGTAGTGCAATGGTTAAGTGCTTGACTGCTACCTGAAAGGTTGGTGTTCAAACCCACTCAGCAGCTCTGTAGGAGAAAACCTGGCAATTGCTACCATAAAGATAACAGCCTGGAAAACCCTATGGACAGTTCTACTCTGTCACACAGGGTCGCTATGAGTCAGAATCAACTCGATGGGCTCCTGACAACAAAACCAGATAAAGATGGGACAGTAGTCATCTCCATGCACCATTGCGCTGGTTGCTTCAACTTTTGTACAGAAAGGAATGTGGCTTCAGTCATTGAAATAGTTCATATGCTTATCACTTGGCGCAACAATCCCACTTCTGGAATTCCTTCCCATAGAAATAAAAGTACTAGAACATTAAAGATTTTTAAATAAGATTTTTTAATGCTGCTCTGGTTACATTAACCAAACCTGGGACAAATCTGATTGTTCATCAGCACAGGAGTGGTTGATTAAAGGATGACATATCTGTCTGCAGAATATTATGCAGTTATTTAAAAATGAGGTAGATATGTAGATTTGAAAGGCTATCTAAAATAACTAGAGGCAAAAATATGTGTGTGTGTGTGTGTGTGTGTATGTGTGTTGAAGTGATCATTGAGTGATCTCTCAAGGGAGAGATAAGAGTAGGACCTTATCATTTAGAAAGAAATTTTTAACAATTTTGGTGAAAGTATGCACAGCCAAAGACACACCATTTCAACTTCTACATGTATGTTTCAGTAACATTTGTTACATCCTTCAAGTTGTGCTACCATTCTCACTGTCCTTTTCCAAATTATTCCAATCCACTGCCTCCTTTTTCCCATCCACCCTTTCATTTTTACTTTATGCTACTTCTCAGTATTTTTAAAATTAATTACAATGAACATGCATCTCTTCTGTTACCAAAAAAAAAAAAAAAAAAGAAAGAAAAAAAACCTAATTATATTAAAAGAACTTCACTGAACTGTTTGTTGGGGTTATACCATCTAAACAGTTTTTGTGAAAATCACAGTTGATTTATCTTAGGGGTAATATTGAAGAATTGTCCATGTTTATTACGGGGTCTCCTTTGTGAAGGCTCATTGGAGACATATCCTCCCTAATGTCAATCCCCAGATAATTTTGAGCAACTGGTTTGCTTTTATCTTAGGCACATTGGACATCTGGTAATTGACCATGTTTTCCTTTGTTGTGGCCAGTAGGAAGCTCAGCATCGACTGGAAGCTGTGCAGTTCATACAACTGGGCAGGGCCACATAGCTGACATTCTTGGCAAAGTCCCTACTGCTGATGCTATCTTGTTTCCCACCTTTCTTTTTCTGTCATGCATTTTAATATCCTTATTTTCACTGGTTCTGTTGTAAGTATCTCTATAGTTATTGCTGATCTTTTTTTTTTTTTTTTGGTAGGGGAGGGCGGTGTGGCTTGAGGAAGGGACATGAATAATAATGACCAGTGATTTCTGTTCTAACAGGACCCTGGGAAGGAAAAGAACCTTAACAATGAATAGACCACTCATCACTACCAACAACAGATGACTTGCCATTTCATTTATAAAGGTAAGGCGAGAATCTCCATTGTTATTGTTAGGTGCTGTCAAGTTGGTTCTGACTCATAGTGACTCTATGGACAACAAAAAGAAACACTGCCTGGTCTTGAGACATCCTCATACTTGTTGCTATTTTTGAGCCCATTGTTGTAGCCACTGTGTCCATCTTTTGAGGGTCGCCTTCTGTTTTGTTGACCCTCTGTTTTACCAAGTATGATGTCCTTCTCCAGGGACTGGCCCTCCTGATAACATGTCAGATGAATGCTCCTCACTTCTAAGGAGGATTCCGGCTGTACTTCTTTCAAGAAGTCTTCTGGCAGTCCATGGTATATTCAATATTCTTCACCAAACCATAATTCAAAGGCATCAATTATATTTTGGTCTTCCTTACTCATTGTCAAGCTTTCACACGCATATGAGAAGATTAAAAATACCATGGCTTGGGACGAGGTACACCTTAATCCTCAAAGTGACATCTTTGCTTCTGAACACTTTAAAGAGATCTTTTGCAGCAGATTTGCCCAATGCAAATCATTTGATTTCTTGACTGTTACTTCCATGGGCATTGATTGTGGATCCAAGTGAAATAAAATCCTTGACAACTTCAGTCTTTTCTCCATTTATCATGATGTTGCTTATTGGTCCAGTTGTGAATTCTAAGTAACCTGTATCTTTAATGAGTTCTCCTGACTCACTGCAGAGCTCTTACTTAAAAATATTTCAAAACATGTGTCTAGCTCAGGACCTTTAACAATGACATTATGTTAGAATTAATACAAAACAAACAAGCGAAAAAAAAAAAATAGAAACAGGAATTGTGTGACCCCCCATTGGTCTAAAAAGGTGCACAACACTAGTTGTGGCCTCTTGGCTGTAAATTACTATGGATGTGTACATTTTTTCCCATATTGTTAGTATTTTCCTGATTTTTAAATATTCCTGGAGACTATAGTAAAATACAAAAATGAAAACCCATTGCACTCATACTCCCATCACCTGCAGATAATCACTAGTACGTCTGTGAATTCTTTTCTTCCTTCCCATCATACATTCATAGACAGATGTAGGATTGTCATGTTCTTTTTTTATTATTATTTTTATTTTTATTGTGATTTGGGTGAAAATTTACAGAGCAAATACACTTTCCATACAGCAGATCACATACACTTTGTCTCATGACATTGACCACAATTTAGCACAATGCAACATCTCCTCTCCTACTTCCTCCCAATAGGTATCGCTTCCCTGTGACCATCCCATTATGCACTCCTACCCCCTGAGCTGTCTCCCTGTGCCTGAGCAGCCCTTCTTTCTCTCTTGCTTGTTCTCTCCAAGGAGTGTATCTACCTCAGATAAATGCTCAAGTAGTATGCCTGTCTACTGCTTGGCTGGAAGCTACTGGTGTGTGTTCAATTCCAGACCTGAAGGGCAGCTAGGGGCCATAGTCTCAGTGGTTCCACCAGGCTCCATCGGGCCAGTAAACCTGTTCCCTGCCTTTTTTTTTTTTTCCCAAATGATTTTGAGTTTTGTTCCACGTTGTTCCCCCTGGCTATTTAGGATCTCCTACAAAGATCCTCTTCCAAGTGGTTGATAGTAGTAGCCGAGCACCGTCTATTTCTTCTGGTCTCATAGTTGTATAGGCTGCAGATCGGATGGTGTACCAGTCTCTAGGACTGATTGTTTCCATGAATTTTTGGTTTTCTTCATTCTTCTTGGTCCTGGACGAGGAGAGACCCATCGTTGCATCTAGATAGCAGCTTGCAAGCTTTTAAGATCTCAGTCGCTACTAGCCACAGTAGAAGGTGGAACAATGATTTGTGTAGTATATTAAATTGAGCTTGATGTCCTCTAGGACTATGGTCCCGAGCCCACAGGTTCAACTACTCAGTCCCTCTGGGTAGCTGTCAGTGGCCAAGCAGTGACTAAAACCTTGCCCCTTGTCAGCCCCATTATACACCTGGGAATTCAGATCATACACATAAAGTTATTGGACCACTGTCTTCCAACCTCTACATGTTCTTGGGTGCACTCTCCACTTCATATAGATATCTAATATTTCAGCCTGTCCACCCATCTATCTACCCATATACCCGTGTTTGCCTTCACTGAACACATCGTATGTCTGTAATGCATACTTACCTTAGTGTCCATGGTTACAAAGGATGCACCTTAACAGGTGAGGAAACATAACAGGTTGAGGAACCACAGGAATTATTGCTGTGACCGTTTTCACAGTGATTTGCAGTTTGCCAGGACACCCCCATGCATCTCATTTGCCTCTTGACACCAAAGTCCCTGATTAAAGGTCCAGGTGATCTTTTTTAAGCATCACTCTACAGAAGAAGGCTTTGCCTCTACATATTTTATGACCATCCTTTGTCATTATTAAGGAGCGCTGGTGGTAGACTGGTTAAGGCGTTTGGCTGCTAACCAAAAGGGTTGGTGATTCTGACCCACCAGCTGCTCCACGGAAGAAAGATGAGAGTCTGTAAAGGTTTACAGCCTTGGAAACCCAGTAGGGGTTGCTGTGAGTCAGAATCAACTCAATGGCAGTGAGTTTGGTTTTTGGTTGGTTTATCATTATTACCTATTTTGTGTTGCTTAAAGGGAATTAAAAAAAAAATAATAACACAGAAGTGTATGCAGTTTTCCTCTTTGCTACAGTGGAATCAGGTGATTTACAAAGTAATAAATACTTCAGGGCCATCTCATCATCCTTCCTTCAATTAGTCAGCTTCCCATTAAGGTTGTTCTTTCAAATACCCTTCAGAGTAGCTCTTGATGCTATTCAGTTTGAAAGCTGTGAAGTTTTAGAAGAGAAATGGCTGGGAGGGCAGTCGTTAAGGAGTCTTGATTCTTTTGGCTCTATTAAACAGTTCAAGGTTAAAGAAAAATTCTCTCAATTATTATCATTAGTGCATGCTGACTTGAAGACACAAACATGCCTTATTAAAGAAATGGACTAAAGCTTTGTACAGACAATTCACTAAAGAGATACTAATAACCAAGTCAACATGAGAAAAATGTTCATCTTTATGACTCATCAAATCAGTACAAAATAAAATGTTTTCCCCCTGCAGTCACATTAGCAAAGTGTTTTATTTGTATGGGAATGTTCTGTGCAGGTAGAGGTGTAAAGTATGTGTGATGTTTTACCAGCAGCCACTGTTCCAGGAACCTGCAGCAGCTGCTTGAACATTTGGTTGGAGGTATACATGCATACATACATGCATACATACATACATACATATATATATATGAAACTTACTGCCGTTGAGTGGATTCAACTCATAGCAACCCTTCCTTGGGTTTCCGAAGTGGCTGGTGGGTTTGAACCACCAGCTTTCTGGTTACCAGTCAAATGCCTTAGGCACTATTCCACCAGAGCTCCTGTGTGTGTATGTATGTGTGTGTATCTGTATACACACACATGTATGTACACACACACATATATATATATTCAGAGGACAGTATCATTTGTAAACAGAGGTAAATAGGAAACCTCCTAAAGGTCTATTAATAAAAAAAAATGTTAAATTATGATACATGTTTATGATAGAATCTTTCAGGCACCAGACATTGTTTCTAATTGATATTTAGTGACATGGAAAATGTTTATGATATAAAATGAAAAGGTCAGGATACAATGTTAGATACAATGTAAAATCCTAGGTTTGTGTAAAAAAAAAAGAAAAAGTATGCGTTTGAATAAAGATCAGAATATAATATAGACAAATGTTAAAAAAAACAAAACCCAGCTGCCATCTAGTCAATTCCAATGCATGGTGACCCCATAACTGTCAGTAGAGTTGTGATGCATGGGGTTTTCAATGGCTGAGTTTTTGGAAGTGGTTTGCCAGGCCTTTCTTCTGAGGTACCTCTGGGTTGACTCAAACCTCCAACCTTCTAGTTAGCAGCCAAGCATGTGAGCTATTTTCACCACCTAAGGCACTTGACTGTTAACCAGAAGGCTGGCGGTTCAAACCCACCAGCCACTCCTCAGAAGGAAGGTTGGGCAATCTACTTCCGTAGTGATACTG